AGAAAACCACAGCTAGTAGGATATCAATGATGAAACAGTGGAAGTTTTCCCCCTAAGATCAGGAACAAGAAAAGGATGTCCTGCTATTCAATATTATAATGGAAGTTCTAACCAGAGCTATTCAACAAGAACAAGTAATAGAAGGCATCAGCTGAGAATGGTGGCTCATGCCTGTCATCTCAGCACTTGAAGCCAGGAGTTTGAAACTAGCTTGGGCAAACTTTTCCTGAGGGAAAGTTTGGAACTTGTTAGAGACTGGTTAAGTGGTTGTGATCGAAATGTTCATAGACATATAGACAGTAAGGCCGAGCACGGTGGCTCACACCTGTAATCCCAGCACTTTGGGAGGCTGAGGCAGGCAGATCACGAGGTCAGGAGTTGAAGACCAGACTAGCCAACATGGTGAAACTCCATGTCTACTAAAAAATACAAAAATTATCTGGGCATGGTGGCTCTTGCTTGTAATCCCAGCTACATGGGAGGCTGAGGTAGGAGAATTGCTTGAACCAGGACCCAGGAGGCAGAGGTTGCAGTGAGCGGAGAGCACACCACTGCACTCCAGCCTGGGCTGCAGAGCGAGACTCCATCTCAAAAAAGAAAAGAAAAGAAATATAGACAGTAAAGGCCACATTGACAATGTCTGAGATACAAGTTAAGAACTTATTAGGAACTGTACCAAACCTTGTTAGTAGCAGCAAAGCACCGGCTGCATTGTATCCATGCTCTAGGATTCTGTAGGAGGCCAAACTTAGGACTAATAACCTGGGATATCTGGTGAAAGAAATTTCTAAGCAGCAAAGTCTTCAAGAAGTGGCATGACTGCTTTTAACAGTTCTTAACAATCAGTTCCAGCAGGAAAAGAATGACCTACGAACCCAAAATATCTGAGGCAGGTCTCAAACAATTTAGAAAATTCATTTTGCCAAGGTTAAGGACACACCCATGACACCGTCTCAGGAGGTCCTGATGACATGTGCCCAAGGTGGTTGGGGTACAGCTTGCCTTTATACATTTTAGGGAGACATGAGACATAAATTAATACATGTAAGATGTACATTGATTCAGTTAGGAAAGGTGGGACAACTCAAAGGAGCGAAGGTGGGGGTGGGCTTCCAGGTTATAGGTAGATAAGAGATAAAAGGTTGCATTCTTTTGAGTCCTTGATCAGCCTTTCACTGACACACAATTTAGTCAAAGCCAGTCATGGTGGCTAATGCCTATAATCCCAGCACTTTGGGAGGCTGAGGCGGGTGGATCATCCTAGGTCAGAAGTTTGAGACCAGCCTGGTCAACATAGCAAAACTCCGTCTCTACTAAATATACAAAAATTAGCCAGGCATGATGGCACGCACCTGTAGTCCCAGCTACAGAGGATGCTGAGGCAGGAGAATCACTTGAACCTGGGAGGCAAAGGTTGCAGTGAGCTGAGATTGCACCACTGCACTCCAGCCTTGGCAATAGAGTGAGACTCCAACTCAAAAAAAAAAAAAAAAAATAGTCTGTCTCAGTGAATCTGCATTTTTACATAAACAATAGGGCAGAGGAAGCAATCAGATATGCAATTGTCTCAGGTGAACAGAGAGATGACTTTCTGTCCCACATCTGTGAAAATAAGCTATCAGTTTACATTGCCAGGGTGAAATTCAACAGAACCGTTTTAGGGTAAACATCTTGGGGCCCACAAGAAATTTCCTTGTGGGCAAATTGTGAAGGAGGGTTTTGTTTTGTTTTTTTTAATCTTTGTAGCTGTCTTATTTAAAAATAAAATGGGAGGCAGGTTTGCCTGACATAGTTTCCAGCTTGGCTTTCCCCTTGGCTTAGTGATTTTGGAATTCGAGATTTATTTTCCTGTCAGGTTTCCCCTGTTTTCTTTTTAAATTTTTTCAGAAAGAGCATTTTAGAAGAAAATGAGTCTCCAGTCTCAAGTTTTTCTAATCTCTCATAGCTTGGATAATTTATTCTAGACAGGCAGGTCTCACATTATTAGAAAAGCTCATTTTTAGCAGATTATAAAGTATCATGTTCTATGAAGAGAAAATAGGGAAAGAGAGAGAAAGAAAACAAAAACAAATGAAAAGATAGAGCCATTTTTCTCTGAAGTCCATACAACAGTAGGCAGGCATTATTTTGAATACTTTGAAATAATTCTGAAGTATTTTGAAATAATTCAATTCAATATTTTGACATAATTCTGAAATATTTGCCAATATTTCAAATTTTCAAATTGAATTGAAATATCAATATTTTGAAATAATTCAAAACATTATTTTGAATACCTGTAGCCAAGAAAAAAATTTAGAATTTAGCCTAAACTAAAAAATAATAAAAATTGAAAAACATTAGGCAAGACTAGAATCTAATAGCAGGTGCACTATAGTTCACGTTGAAGCATAATTTTCTCTCTCCAGTCCCCATTTTCACTAAAGACAAATCACAGGACAAATTTATGTATGAAATAAGTGTTAGTCTTATTATACTTGAGTATTTCCATGAAGTCAGTAAGAATAATTATGTGCCAGCCAGGTGCAGTGGTTCACACCTGTAATCCCAGAACTTTGGGAGGCTGAAACAGGTGGCTCACTTGAGGCCAGAATCCTAGGCAACATGGAGAAACCCCATCTCTACTAAAAATAAAAAACTAGCCAGACGTGGTGGCACACTACTGTAGTCCAACTATTTAGAAGGCTGAGGCACAAGAATCACTTGAATCTTGGAAGCAGAGATTGCAGTGAACCCAGATCATGCCACTGTACTCCAGTCTGGGCAACAGAGCAAGATTCTGTCAATAAAAAGAAAAAATTATTTGCCATATTGGCGCTTTTTTAAACTGGCTTTACTGGAACTTTATTCCATAAGGAATTTCAGATTAGACTTCAATGCCTGGAGCCTAGCTTGTGCCTGCAGATACCTGTGTTAATTGGGTGAATTCCCAAGATATTTTGGGGATCCTGGGCCTATCAGAAAGTGGCTCTTTTTTTTTTTTTTTGAGATGAAGTCTCACTCTGTTGCCCAGGCTGGAGTGCAGTGGTGCAATCTCAGCTCACTGCAACCTCTGCTTCCCAGGTTGAAGTAATTCTTGTGCCTCAGCCTCCCAAATAGCTGGAATTACAGGCACATGCCACCATGCCCAGCTAATTTTTGTATTTTTAGTAGAGACGGGTTTTTGCTTTGTTGGCCTATTGGCCAACTGGTCTCAAACCTCTGACCTTGCCTTCAAAAGTGCTGGGATTACAGGCATGAGGTATCACACGTGGCCCAGAAAGTGACATTCTTTACTTACCACAGGTCAGGAACCTGTACAGGAACTGTGTGGATAAGGCATGAGGCCAGCTTTCCCAAGGGGCTTTTATTGGCTCTGTAAGCCAACTTTGATTCCTTAAAGCAGCATATTTATATCTGAAAGTATGTCATTTCAATCAAATCCTTGGTAAAATAACCAGTGTCTTCAATTGTATCCTGTTACAAAAGAACAGATTCTTATTGAACTTACCCAAATAACTAGACTGCCATAAATTAAGTATATTTGCAAATAGTTTTCAAATTCTGGAGAAATCAGGTAGAGATAATATGCTTCAGATTTTGCTCATGGGAATATAGTTTACCCAATTGTTAAAAAGCTGTAAATCACTCAAAGAAAAGGGGTTTTCTGGACTCAGAAACAAAAGAATGATCAATGCTTCAAACAAAGTCATAAAATTTTTTTTCAGTTTTCCATTAGTTTAGTCCATGTCATTAACGCCAGTCCTGCTCAATGTTTATAAACACATTAGCTATCTATGGGAGTCTTAGCAGTTTTTCCCCTATTCTAGTGTCATCATCTCCAAAGTTATCAGAAACCTGCCTTCAAGAACACCTGTCAGAGTCATATAGTTAATTATAAAATCATCTTTTGAAAAGGACAAAAGTAGGCCAGGTGCAGTGGCTCATGCCTGTAATCCTAGAACTTTGGGAGGCTGAGGTGGGCAGATCACTTGAGGTCAGGAGTCTTCCAGCCTGGCCAACATGGCAAAGCCCCATCTTTACTAAAAATACAAAAATTAGCCAGGCATAGTGGCACATGCCTGTAATCCCTGCTACTTGGGAGGCTGAGGTAGGAAAATAACTTGAATTTGGGAGGTGGAGGTGCATTGAGCCAAGATGGCACCCCTGCACTCCAGACTGAGTGACAGAGTGAGACCCTGTCTCAGAAAAAAAAAAGGATAAAAGTAAAACAACTGTGGATGACAAAACTCTTGGAACGGTCATAGACACAATTGACAAGAAAATCTGATTACTTCTGTGGCATACAACAATTTCATATAATAATCATAATTACTACTGATAACATATACTAAAACACATCTGAATCACAGGAATCTCATACAATTCTGGAACATATACTCACAATACATTTATATAAATATAATATGAAGAAGGTTAAACACCATTTCACGTGACAAAACTTCCTATATGATTTTATTATATCAAATAATTCAAATATGACTTCTTTGCACTTCAGGGGACCTAATATCAAAAAAATTAATTAGAACCAAAGTTAGAATTTGATTTTGGAAGCTTTGTCAAATATAACACTTGATATCACAAAATAGGATTATCGTAAAATAACTCATTCATTTAGCCAAAATGATAACTGAAAGATTTCAAAAAGGAAAAAACTTTTATTCTTTGAGAGGAGACTTAATTTCCCAAACAATAAACCCTAATAAAGACAGCATGAGGACAACTAAATCTTTCAAAATTTTATAAACAGGCTGGGTGTGGTGGCTCATGCCTGTAATCCCAGGACTTTGGGATGCCGAGGCAGGTAGATCACTTGAGGTCAGGAGTTCAAGACCAGCCTAGCCAACATAATGAAACCCTGTCTCTACTAAAAATTCAAAAATTAGCCAGATGTGGTGGCATGTGCCTGTAGTCCCAGCTATTTGGGAGGCAGAGGCAGGAGAATTGTTTGAACCCATGAGGTGGAGGCTGCAGTAAGTTGAGATTGTGCCACTGTACTCCAACCTGGGCAACAGAGCAAGACTCGGTCTCAAAAAAACTTTTATAAACAAAATCTATAAAATTTTAGTCATCTTGACCATAAGATATAATTTCCATAAATTTTTTATAAGTTGTATAACCTTTTATTAATAAGTAGGCTAATGCTCTAAGAAAATGCTTGAAGACCAGCCATATACGGGTCTTGCATCAGTGAGCTTTTGACATTAACGGTTAGGTTTATAGAGAAACTGAACTAATTTAATCTCTCAACATCAGCCCTTACAATCTGATGCACCCACCTCTTCCACGATAGTCCTTGAGTCTTAGAAAGTTAAATACTTTTCATTTCTGGTCCTGTGTCTCAGGAAAGCAGTTTATTTTGATTAGCATCTTCTACCAGGTCTGAAAATGAGGCTTTAACTCCTGTCAGTGTTTAAGATTTAGCAGCACTTGGTGTCCTTTTTAGACCCAAGAGTCAAACCCTGTAACTTAATGGCATAAAAATTTGAAAAGCACATACAGAAAGTTACATGAATGCAATAATCTTAATTTAGAATGTTTTTAAATTTCATTCTAAGTAAACCAAAACTTATAATAATAATATAGAAATTATTTCAATAAAACATAAAAATCTGATTGTTAGGCCAGTTACCAAAAGGCAAAAGAAAAGACCTTCTGCAGTACAATTTCTGTTCCCTATGGGGAATCCATTTAGATAATCTGCAAGTCAAAACTAATGAAAATAGTACTTGAATTAGACATAGAAAGAATGTTTACTGGGTCATAAGTGAAAACTTTCATTTATAGAACACTTTAAAGCCAAGAGCACAGGATATTATGTTAGAAGAAAACATTTCCTTTAGACCTTTAAGATAAAACATTTTTAGCATGAGGCCACAACAAATAGTTAGAACCTAAGGGGAAAAAAACTTACAGGAGCTGAAAATGAGTTGAAGGAGAGTTATTATTTTAGGCCTTTTAAAAGGAGAGAGAGAAAGCTGAAAACAGCAAAATGCAATAAAAGTTGAACTTTGGGCTTAAAAAAATTTAAATCTCTTGTAATTTTATTAAGAGTAAATCAATATCTTAAGAAAATTTTGTCATTCTAACCAATTCTTTAGTGTTTGATTTTTTTAGATCAAAACCCAGTCTCTAGAAACACTATTATAAATAGTTGCCCTTTAACTACAGACAACTTGATATAAATCATTTATAACATGCTTGGACTTCCTGTTTTATCCTAGGCAACCCTCTTTCTTAAATAACCAGTTATTTTATTTTAGGACAAAAAATTTACCACACAAGATTCTTTCTTACACAAAATTATTTTCCCTGTCTTGCCAAAAACAACTCTTTATATTTGAAACTTTACATTGCTCTTATTTACTGATTACCTGTATCTTATTTCATAAATAACTTTTAAATAACCTTGGAATTAGGCAAAAATTATTTTTCTTTAAATAAGAACACATTTCTTTTTTTAGAAAAATATATTTCTATAATTTTTTAAAAAGGAAATGACCCATTTAATGAATATCTATTATTTAACTTAATAAAACTTTAGATTTTAAATTACATAAGATTATTTACAAGCATTTATTCCATTACATTTACCTAATTAATTTTTTTAAGTAGTTTACCCAGATTACTTATGAAAACTATGATAGCTATCATTTAAAGTTATTTCTCTGATGGCCAGCCCAGTGGCTCATGCCTGTAATTCCAGTACTTTGGGAGGCCAAGGCAGGAAGATCACTTGAGACCAGGAGTTTAAGACCAGCCTAGCCAACATGGCAAAACTGCATCTCTACCAAAAATACAAAAATGAGCTGGGCCATAGTGGTGCATCCCTGTATTCCCAGCTACTTGGGAGGCTGAAGCACAAGAATTGCTTGAACCCGGGAGGCAGAAGTTGCAGGCTGCAGTGAGCTATGATCACACCATTGCACTCCAGCCTGGGTGACAGAGCAAGACTCTGTCTCAAACAAACAAACAAACAAACAAAAAGCAACAGAAATAAACTTATTTGCTTGTTAATCATTTGTTTTTTGTTTTCCTTCAACTTTTAACTTCCAGGGTACATGTGCAGGACGTGCAGGTTTGTTACATAGGTAAATGTGTGTCATGGTGGTTTGCTGCACAGATCAACCCATTACCCTGGTATTAAGCCCAGCATCCATAGCTATTCTTCCTGATGCTCTCCCTCCCACCAAGAGGCCCCAGTGAGTGTTATTCCCTCTCATGTGTACATATGTTCTCATTGTTCAGCTCCCACTTATAAATGAGAACATGCAGTGTTTGGTTTTCTGTTCTTGCGTTAGTTTGCTAAGGATAACAGCTTCCAGCTCCCTCATGTCCCTGCAAAGGACATGATCTCATTCCTTCTATGGCTGCATAGTATTCCATGGTGTGTATGTACCACATTTTCTTTATTCAGTCTATCACTGATGGGCATTTGAGTTGATTCCATGTCTTTGCTATTGCGAATAGTGCTTCAATGAATATACACATGCATGTATCTTTATAAGAGAATGATTTGTATTCATTTGGGTATATACCCAGTAATGGGATTGCTGGGTCAAATGGTATTTCTGCCTCTAGATCTTTGAGGAGTTGCTACACTGTCTTCCATAATTTACACTCCCACCAACATTATAAAAGCATTCCTTTTTCTCTGCAACCTTGACAGCATCTGTTGTTTCTGGACTTTTTTTTTTTTTTTTTGGGACGGGGTTTCACTCATGTTTCCCAGGCTGGAGTGCAATGGCGCGATCTCGGCTCACCGCAACCTCCGCCTCCTGGGTTCAGGCAATTCTCCTGCCTCAGCTTCCTGAGTAGCTGGGATTACAGGCACGCACCACCATGCCCAGCTAATTTTTTGTATTTTTAATAGAGACGGGGTTTCACCATGTTGACCAGGATGGTCTCGATCTCTTGACCTCGTGATCCACCCGCCTTGGCCTCCCAAAGTGCTGGGATTACAGGCTTGAGCCACCGCGCCCGGCGTTTCTGGACTTTTTAATAATCGCCATTCTGACTGGTGTGAGATGATGTCTCACTGTGGGTTTTTGGGGTTTTGTTTTGAGGCAGAGTCTCACTTTGTCACCCAGGTTGGTTTCAAGCAGTTCTATTGCCTCAGCCTCCTGAGGAGCTGGGATTACAGGCACGCACTACCATGCCCAGTTAATTTTTGTATTTTTGGTAGAGATGAGGTTTCACCATGTTGGCCAGGCTGGTCTCAAATTCCTGACCTCCAGTGATCTGCCCACCTTGGCTCCCAAAGTACTGGGATTACAGGCAAGAACCACTGCATATAGCTTCATTGAGGTTTTGATTTGCATTTCTCTAATGATCAGTGATGTTGACCTTTTTTCATATGGTTAACCATTTTTATAACCTGTGAATTTCAGATTTTCCTAAGTAAGAAACTTAAGGTTAGATAAATGGTGTTTTGTTTACCAATAACTCAGCATTTAGCTGTTTTCATTAACTAAACAATATTTAAATGCCTTATGTATCAAATTTTACATAAACAACATTTCTCTTTTGGGCTACATTCATAGCTTTATAACATTCATGCCAAATGTTGACATCTAGCAGAGACAAATATAAAACCACTTGACCAATAAATCTAAACAATAATGTATGTTGACAATTCTGAAGCCATTTCTATTTCTACTTCACCAATATTTTTTTTTTTTTAATTTTTTTTGAGACGGAGCCTCGCTCTTGTTACCCAGGCTGGAGTGCAATGGCACGATCTCGGCTCACCGCAACCTCCGCCTCCTGGGTTCAGGCAATTCTCCTGTCTCAGCCTCCTGAGTAGCCGGGATTACAGGCACGTGCCACCATGCCCGGCTAATTTTTTGTATTTTTAGTAGAGACGGGGTTTCACCATGTTGACCAGGATGGTCTCGATCTCTTGACCTCGTGATCCACCCGCCTTGGCCTCCCAAAGTGCTGGGATTACAGGCTTGAGCCACCACGCCCGGCCTACTTCACCAATATTTTAAAAACCAGCTTATTTATTAGAGATTTACTTAAGTCACAGGAACTTGAAAAAGCATTTGGTTTAAAGTCCCATTTTTTTCTGATAAAGTATTTGATTCAAGCACTTTTTTCCTTAAGCCAATTAATTAAAGTTCTTTTATATATTTTTAGTAATGAAACATCATATACATGACATATAAATACATAGATGTATTACACAAGCACATAGAATCAGATCTTACAGACCCATAAGATCCCTTTTTTCCTTCTTTAGATTTGCAAATTCTTTTCTTTTCTTTTTTTTGCAGCAAAGAAAGAGTTTAATAATCACAGGGCTAGCCAAGTGGTAGTGAAATGGGAGGAGTTTTCCTTTATCACCCTTGGGTGTGCAACAGGGGTGTAGCTTGTTTCTTCAGTGCCCCCATGCTTGAACCCCCAGGGGAGCATGGGGATGGGTAGGCTGTGGGGACATGGGCTCCAACCCCATGGCAGTGTCTAGGGTTGAATGTTTACAGCTCCCAAAGCCCAAGTGGGCATGTGTTACACTGTGCTCTTTCAGTTTAGCCATCAGCAGGTGACTTGTGTTAATCAGCTCAATTAGACCCTCTGCCTTATCACAAGGACAGAGGGCCTTCTGTGTCCTGGGGGTTCTTGCCCTAGTGTACCCAAACAATTGGATCACACATGGTCTTGGAGAATGAGTGCAAGGATTTATTGAGCGGTGGAAGTAGCTCTTAACAGATGGATGGGGAGCCAGAAGGAGGATGAAGAGGGAAGGCGGTCTTCCCCTGGAGTTGGGCTGCTCAGTGGCCAGGCTCTCCTCTGACCGCCCTCAGCCAAATTTCCCTCCACATCCATGTTGCTCTGCTCTCAATGGCCTGCCGGATTCTGTTGGTGTGTTCTTCTGCCAGTGTGTTCCACTTGACGTCCAGTTGCTGTGTGTGTGTGCCCAATAGGATCTCTTATAGGCACAGGATGGGAGTGTGACGGGCCAGGGTGGTCTTGGAAAATGCAACATTTGGGCATAAAAACAGGAGTGCCTGTCCTCACTTAGGTCTGTGAGCATAACAGCAAAAATGGAGCCCTCGCCAGAGACCCTGCCTTTCTCTACCCAGCACTTCCCTGACCCTCTCCCGTATCAGTAGGATGGGAGAAATTTCTCAAATCTGCCTCCCAATTTCTTGATTACCTGTTTTATCCTAGGCACCCTATTAATCTAGGTAGTGGTCAGCTAGATACCCCTAAATTTACATATTAAAGGAACAACTCTTAGGCAAAAAATTAGATAGGGAAATTTACATTTCAAAGTACAAAGAGAAAGAATCTGGTAGTGTTAAAAGGTAGATTAAAAATGGATGCCAAATCAAACAAAAAATTATAGAAATCTATCATAGAATTGTATAAGCAGACCAATTTTATTTAGATAGGTATTTCTAAATAAAAGCTAGTTCTAAATAGGATCTTTGAGCTCTGGGCAGCACCCACAGTGAATCTTGAGTCTCCAAAAAAGAGATAATTATTATCAGGCTAGACCACGTGAGGCTTTTACAGTACACTTTTTTTTTTAAACAAAGACATTTATCTAACTGTCTAAACTACACTATTCCTTGATTTAAATACCAAAGAGTAGCTCTGTTGTAATATGATTTTAGTAAAAAAAAATCAGGTAACACAATATAAAAACAAACAGTTTAAGATCTGAGATGAACCTGTCTGTTTACACTCTTAGGGTTCCATAAGAAAAAACAGAGATTTCTTCCCAAAAGAGAGTCTGGCACCTTCTCTGTTTTCTTTAAGGAATCCCAGGCTGTTAGAAACTATTTTAAGGTTCCTTATGCAGCAGAGGGTGGCAAGAGAAAGGAGAGACAGCAGAAGTAAATGAAGAAAACAGAATTCAGTTGACTAAGAAGAAAAAAAACAGACTTTTTCTCAAACAAAAAAAAAAAAAAGAAAAAAACAAAACAAGGTCCTAGGAGAGAAAACCACAAAGGCCAAACACACACACACACCGCTTGGATATTAGCTTTTAATTAAGCTGACTTTAAAACACTGAGCTCCTTTAAAAACTTTTTTTGGCTGGATGTGGTGGCTCATGCCTGTAATCCCAGCACTTTGGGCGGCGTACACTAGCAGATCACCAGAGGTCAGGAGTTTGAGACCAGCCTGGTCAACATGGTGAAACCCTGTCTCTACCAAAAATACAAAAATTAGCTGGACATGGTGGGGTACACCTATAATCCCAGCTACTTGGGAAGCTGAAGCACGAGAATTGCTTGAAGTCGGGATGCCAAGGTTGCAGTGAGCCAATATTGCACCACTGTAGTCCAACCTGGTGACAGAGCGAGACTTCATCTCAAAAAAAAAAAAAATTCTAAATCTCACTACCATATTTTAGCTAGGACAAATTTTTGATATTTCAAAAATAACACAAATATCAAACTAGAAAAGGCTTGATTTAGGAATCAAACCCAGCCTGTTGTGGTGAAAAAAACCGGCAAAACCTTAGCTACCAAACTACAGTGTGTGACGACAATGACTGCTCTTTCAGTTTGGCTTGGCTGGCAAAAAGGTGGCCTTGTTATGTAAATAAAACCCTTCAGGTAGTCAAAATCAAAAATCTTCCTTTTTTTTTTCTTTTGCTGTCCTGGCCATTTTTTTCTCACCCTTCCCCTCCCCACCTTTTTCCCAGCTGTGGGAATTTAGCCAATTCGGAGGCTTTGTTCCTCATACTTTGGAACTTTCCTTCATATTTGATCAAGTCGGATAGAGTTGGTCAAACCCAATGGGAAAAATGTCGCGGGTGAGTGGCGACTATCTGGGCTAGTAATGCAGGAGTAAAAGAATTTACCAAGACAGGCTGGGCACCTGTAATTCCAGCACTTAGGGAAGCCAAGGCAAGTAGATCACTTGAGGTCAGGAGTTTGAGACCAGCCTGGCCAACATGGCTGAGTGTGGTTGTTCATGCCTGTAATCCCAGCACTTTGGGAGCCTGAGGCTGGCAGATCACTTGAGGAGTTTTAGACCATCATGGCCAACATGGTGAAATGCCATCTCTACTAAAAATACAAAAATTAGTTGGGCGTGGTGGCATATGCCTGTAATTCCAGCTACTCAGGAGGGTGAGGCAACAGAATCGCTTGAACCCAGGAGGAGGAGGTTGCAGTGAGCCGAGATCGTGCCACTGCACTGCAGCCTGGGTGACAGAGTGAGACTCTGTCTCAGAAAACAAAACAAAACCAAAAACTTACCAAGACTGTTGTCGGTAAAGAAAGGCAGATTTATTAGAGAAAGTATGAAAATATGTTGCAAAAAAAGCAATGGGCAGAATTATCAGGGACATATGAACCAGAGCAACTCCATCTTGAATGGGGCTGGGTAAAATCAGGTTGAGACCTGCTGGGCTGCATTCCCAGACGGTTAAGGCATTCTAAGTCAAAGGATGACATAGGAGGATAGCACAAGATAAAGGTCATAAAGACCTTGCTGATAAAAACAGGTTGCAATAAAGGAGCCGAAGCTAGCCAAAACCCACCAAAACCAAGATGGCCATGAGAGTGACCTCTGGTTGTCCTCACTGCTATACTACCACCAGGGCCGTGGTGGTTTACAAATGCCATGGCAACATCAATAAGTTACCTTATATGGTCTAAAAAGGAGAGGCATGAATAATCTACCCCTTGCTTAGCATATAGTCAAGAAATAACCTCTGCGCAGTGGCACATGCCTGTAGTCCCAGCTACTCAGGAGGCTGAGGCTGGAGGATCACTTGAGTCCAGGAGTTCTAGGCTGTAGTGCACTATGCTGATTGGGTGTCCGAACTAAGTTCAGCATCAGTATGGTGACTTCCTGGGAGCAGGGGACCACCAGATTGCCTATGGAGGAGTGAACCAGCCCAGGTTGGAAACAGAGCAGGTCAAAACTCCCGTGCTGATCAGTAGTGGGATTGCACCTGTGAATAGCCACTGCACTCCAGCCTAGGCAACATAGCAAGATCCCATCTCTTAAAAAATAAATAAATAAATAATAAATAACCATAAAAATGGGCAAACAGCAGCCCTCAGGGGTTTGAGACCAGCATGGCCAACATGGTGAAACCCTGTCTTTACTAAAAACATAAAAATTAGTGGTGTAGCCATTCTTGGAGTAGTCATTCTTTCTTCCTTTACTTTCCTAATAAATTTGATTTCACTTTATGGATTAGCCCTGAATTCTTTCTTGTGTGAGATCCAAGAGCCCTCTCTTGGGGTTTAGATTGGGACCCCTTTCAAGTAACAGAATCAGCAAGAGAGGAGCTGACCGCATGGAAACAAAGACTTGCTGGAGATTTTACAGGCTGGTTCTTGGGCTGTAGAGTGCTACATGCAGTACTGAGAATGACAAGGTTGCAGAGGAGCTAATTTGCAATTTTTCTGTCAGCCAAGGTGTTCGATGATAAATAGAACCATTTGATGATAAGCAGGAAGACTGTGAGTTATGTATATTATCTGCGCAGGAGGGCTATGCGTTCTGGGCCACAAAGAAAGGCAGATCTATTATAGCCTATCTGCTTTATCTCTTTGCTTTCCCCTGATCCTTTTCCCTAATTGGGCCTCCACAAAAAGAGAAACAACAACAAAAACAGGAACAAACAAACAAAACAAAAAACAATTATCCAAACAAATAATCATACAATGTATACAATTACTAAGCGCTCTAACAATAAGGAGAAATTAAGACTAGCATGTTGTTAATCTTAACTTTAGCCAAGACCAAAACCCAATTCAGCTACTTACCGAGGAACGGAGCTCAGACTGAAGACTGCTCTCCATCATCCTAGAAACAGGAAAAAGCTCAAACTCACTTTTCTTGTTGGAAGGGAACTGAAACTCCAGAAAGGAGTTACCTGCCCACCATCAGCATGGAAGCGGGAAAATTTGCCTTCCTTGTTGGAAGCAAGTAAAATTCCAGGAAAGCTGTACAGCAAAATAAACATTAGATCTCAACCAAATTTGGGGAGACCAGGGATTCTCTGGAGGGAAGGGAGCTCCCAGGCATCAGCAAATTGTTCTGTTGGTTTGAGTCATAAGGATAGCTCAAGCTGGTACTAAGCACCAAAAGGAGATTTCTCAAAGGTCAGGGGCACCTCCACTCAGAATCCCTTCATGGTTACCAAATTGTGAACTCAAAATATCTGAGATAGGTCTTGATGAATTCTTCTAGTTTATTTTGCCAAAGTTAAGGATACATCCATAACACAGCCTCAGGAGGCCTTGATGATGTGTACCCAAGGGAGTTAGTGTACAGCTTGATTTTATACATTTTAGGGAGCCGTGAGGCATCAATCAATATGTTTAAGATATACATTGGTTCAGTCTGGAAAGCCAGGACAACTGAAAGTGCAGGGAAAGGAAGGTTTCCAGGTCATAGGTAGATAAGAAACAAAAGATTGCATTCTTTTGAGTCCTTGATTAGCCTTTCTCTGAATACACAATTTAGTCTGGCTCAGTGAATCTGCATTTTATAAAAACAATAGGGCAGAGGAGGCAATCAGATATGCATTTGTCTCACAGGGATGACTTTTTGTCCCACACCAATCAGTTTACATTAATAGATTTATATTGATAAACTATCAGTTTACATTGCCAGGGTGAAATTCAACAGAACTGTTTTAGAGTAAAGATCTTGAGGCCCACAAGGAATTTCCCTTTGGGCAAATTGTGAGGGAGATATGTAGCTTTTTTATCTTTGTAGTTATCTTCTTCAGGAATAAAATGAGAGGCAGGTTTTCCTAACATAGTTCCCAGCTTGACTTTCCTCTTGGCTTAGTGATTTTGAGGTCTGAGATTTATTTACCTTTCACAGATCTAAAGGTGGAATTTATAATTAAAAGTGATTCAGGCCGGGCGCGGTGGCTCAAGCCTGTAATCCCAGCACTTTGGGAGGCCGAGGCGGGTGGATCACGAGATCAAGAGATCGAGACCATCCTGGTCAACATGGTGAAACCCCGTCTCTACTAAAAATACAAAAAATTAGCTGGGCATGGTGGCGCGTGCCTGTAATCCCAGCTACTCAGGAA